GACCAATTTCAAATACAAATGTCCATCTTTGCTGTTCAAACATGAAGTCGTTGACATGAGCTGCTCTAGATGTCCAGAAAGCTTATTTCTGGAGCAGTCATAGGAGCAATCTCAAAGGTAGGATTATATTGAATTTCTTTGACAACAGGGTCAAGGTGAACTCCAATCTCCAAATCTTTCTCTTTTTTTTTTTTTAAAAAAAATGTTTATTTTATTTATTTATTATGTATACAATATTCTGTCTGTGTGTATGCCTGCAGGCCAGAAGAGGGCACCAGACCCCATTACAGATGGTTGTGAGCCACCATGTGGTTGCTGGGAATTGAACTCAGGACCTTTGGAAGAGCAGGCAATGCTCTTAACCTCTGAGCCATCTCTCCAGCCCTCCAAATCTTTCTCAACTGCCACCTCCAGTGCCCAGTCACTGCCACTGTCTGAGAGGGCTTGGCTGAAGGCGATTTGGTCAAGTGCATGAGAGAGCCGGCGGCTGGCAGCGGACACAGACTGCCCTCACTGTCGGAGTCCGATTCAGACCCTGAACCCAAACCATACAAAGCAGCTAGAGCTGCAATCGCAGCGGACATGACTGCAACAGATGCCCTCTGCTGTGGTCAGGCCAGGGCGGAAGAAGCAGCGACTCCCAGGACCTCGTTGGGTGCCAGATGTAGCGCAAATCCTAATTGGTTTTAAGCTCAGAGAAGCAGGGCAGCCAGATACTAACTAGTTCTCACCTCTACAGAATACTCAGATCCAATGGCCGAGAGCTCATATCTCTACAATCCTCAGACTGGGTGCGCTTGAGATCCTGTCTCCACCCGCTTTATATTCCTGTCTCTACCTCCCTAGTGCTGGGATTAAAGGTGTGAGCCACCTCCGTTGCCTGTGCTCTGCTTCTCTTTCAGACACATTCAGAGCCCAGGGCAGCCTTGGACTCCTGATCTTCCTGCTTCCTCCTCCTGAGTGCTGGGATTAAAGGTGTGTGCCACCACTGCCTGGCCTCTGTGACTAACTAGTGTGGATAGCTCTGCCCTCTGATCTTCAGGCAAGCTTCATTTACTAGAGCACAAACAAAATATCACCACATCTTTTAGTATATCAGACTGTTTCAATAACTTGTATGGGTGAATATGATGATTGTCACCCAGCTCCAGAGATAAACCAAAAAACAAATACTTTAGATGAGTGCATGGTTTAGCGTGTGAACTGTGGTTTAAAGCTGCTAGGGAAGAAAGTACAAGTATGTTAGCATTGTAGTCAAAGTCTTTCTCAGCCTCCTTGTTTTACTAGACTAAATGCCACCACCCTCACAGTGGAAAAGGACAGAGCCAGGGATACTGCTCAGTTACAGTGTTCCTCTAGTATGTATGAAGTCTTGGGCCCAAGCCTCAACACTACATAAACCGGGCCTGAAATCCTAGCATGTCAGAGGGAGAGGCAGGAAGATGGAATGTTCCAGGTCTTTGGCCAGCCTGGTTACAGGAGACTCTGTCTCAGATACATGCAGTGGGGGGGGGGGGGGAGCAGGAAGGAGTGACACGTGTGATCGTAAACAGGGCAGGAAAGAGGCTTAGCCTTTAAAAATACTTACTGTGGGGGGCTGGAGAGATGGCTCAGAGGTTAAGAGCACTGACTGCTCTTCCTGAGGTCCTGAGTTCAATTCCCAGCAACCACATGGTGGCTCACAACCATCTGTAATGAGATCTGGTGCCCTCTCTGGCAAGTAGGCATATATGCAGACAGAACACTGTATACATAATAAATAAAAATCTTTAAAAAAAAAAATACTTACTGTGCTTGCAGAGGACCCGGTTCTGTCCCAGCCCCCTCTCCATTGGCTCTCAACAATCTATAATTCCAGTTCAAGGAGTCCTGGGCCCTCCTCTAGCCTCCACAAGCACCACATGCAGGTGTACATACAGATAAGCAGGCACATTCATGCAATTAAAAATAACAGGCCAGGCTGGGCGGCGGTGGTGCACGCCTTTAATCCCAGCACTCGGGAGGCAGATGCAGGAGGATCTCTGTGAGTCCGAGGCCAGCCTGGTCTACAGAGTGAGTTCCAGAACATCCAGGACTACATAGAAGAGACTCTCCCCCATCCCCCCGGAACAAAAAAAAAAAAAACTACAAATTTTATTTTTTTTCAGATTTTTAATGAGTATGAGAGTTTGTTTGTGTGTCTGGGCACCCTGTGTGTGCAGCACCCTCAGAAGTTAGAAGAGGTTATTAGATCCCCTGGAGCTGAAGTTCCAGATGGTTATGAGCCATCCTGTGGGTGGGAATCGAACCCAGGTCCTCTGCAAGAGCAGCAAGTGCTCTGAATCTTGGAGTCATCTCTCCACCCTCACAAGAAGTTTAAAGGAAGTCTCGCCCTCAACAATGGCCACTTTCTTTGTTCGTTCAACTCAGCGACACCAACCGCGACTTAGGGACACAACCACACGCCTACCTTACGGCAGAAGGTATTCCTGTTCTGTCTTTATGTATTCTCCCCAGTAGTGGGCTGTTTCCTCACCTCCACTATATTCAAATGTCTGGTGTGCATCGTAAGTGGAGTTTCTCTGTGTCCCGGCAGCAGCTCCCAAATAACCATATAGAGACTTATTATTAATTATAAATGCTCAGCCAATAGCTTAGAGTTGTTTTTAACTAGCTCTTGTAACTTTTTTTTTTTTTGATTTTCGAGACAGGGTTTCTCTGTAGCTTTTTTGGTTCCTGTCCTGGAACTAGCTCTTGTAGACCAGGCTGGCCTCGAACTCCCAGAGATCCGCCTGCCTCTGCCTCCCGAGTGCTGGGATTAAAGGTGTGCACCACCGCCGCCCGGCTCTTGTAACTTAAATTAAGCCATTCCCACTAATCCATGTGCTGCCCTGAGGCTGGTGTACTTCATGTATGAACTCCCCTGTTGCTTCTTCCACATCTGGCTCACAACTCTGGTGACTCAAGGACTCCACCTTTTCTTTTTCCCCCAGAGTCTCTCTGCCCTGAAAATCCTGCCTAGCCATCGGTCAATCAGCTTTTTATTAACAGTGAGATCAACACATCTTCACAGTGTGCAAAAGGATCGCTCCACAACACGCGTCGTTTTGTTTTCTGTACATTGGTGTTTTGCATGCAGGTATGTCTGCGTGAGGATGTCTGATCTCCCGGAAATGGAGTTACAGACTGAGCTGCCACGCGGGTGCTGGGAACTGAACCTGGAAGAGCAGTCAGCGCTCGTAACCGCTGAGCCATCCCTCCTGGCACTGGTTATGTTTTGGTTTTGGTTTGGTTTAGACAGTCTCGTTGTGTTGTCCAGCCTGGCGTTGAATTACTGAACTCAAATGGTCTTTCTATCTCTGACTCCTAAGTAGCTAGAACCATAGATGTGCCTATGTGTCCTACCACATCCGGCTAAATAATTTTTCTGCTGTAGGGATATGACTCAGTGGTAGAGTGATTGCCCAGAACACGCGGGACCCCGGATTCAATGCCCAGGATACACACATACACACACACACACCGATAAATAATGTCACCTTTCTTTCTTTCTTTCTTTCTTTCTTTCTTTCTTTCTGCCTCTGCCTCATGAGTGCTGGGATTAAAGCTGTACATCACCATACCTGGCACATCCCCAAACCTTAAGACAGGGTTTCACTGAGTGGCTCAGGCTGGCCTAGAACTCACTCTACAGCCCAGATGGCCTTGAATCCTCCAACTTCAGCCTCTTGAGTGCTTACATTCCAAGTCTGATTCAGCAAGCCCGGCTCTAGGAAAAGAATGTTCCTGGTTAAGATCTGAATGGTAAAAAGACTTGATCCACTAATAAACTGGCTTCCAGTTTCACACCTCCCTGTGTTTGGTTTGTGTGTGGGAGTGGGGGGTTCATGCCTGCGTGAGTGAGTGTATGTGCGCCATATTTGTTCAGGAGCCTGTGGAGCAGAAGAGGGTATAGACCTCCTGCTACTGGAGTTACCAGAAGTCATGGGTGTTGGCATGTGTGTGCTGGGAACCAAACCTGGGTCCTCTGCAAGAGCAGCAAGTGCTCTTAAAGGCTGGGCCACCGTTCCAACCCTTCTCCTAGTAGTCTTACCTCATGCTTCTTTGAAGGCAGTGTTTCCAGGCCCATTCCATCCCATAACTGAGGTGAAGTTCATAGGCTGGCAGCTGAAGGAGACCTCTGCATATCAGGGCTCTCTCCGGGACCCGGGATTAGGCTTTCTGACTCAGCAGCAAATGTAATTGCAGGTGCAATTTTTTAAGAGAAGAAGGGAAGGTCTGTGTTAGAATGGGCAAGGATGTGACGGTCGAGGAGATAGGGGACAGGGTCAAGGAAGGAGAGGAAGGGAACAGAGGTATTTGCCCCAGAGGGACAAAGGACTGCCTCTGGATAGAGAGGACACAGATGTGGCACTTAGAAAAATGGCAGTTCATAAAAGTACAAAGGGGAAATCCCAAATTAGGATGAGATATTTAATTTTAATTGGGCATGTGAATTAGGGGAGCCAAAGGGGACTTTTGATAGCTGGACTTGGGTGGTCTGCCTCGGGAGGAGGAAGTGGTTAAATGAGGGAGTAGCTTGGAGGCCAGCTTTAGGGATGGGGGAGAAGGGCAAGGCTCCAGTGGCTAGTGTCTCTTCAACAGTAGTGCCTGTTCAGAGGGAAAACATTTGGTGGGTGGAAAAAAGGGAGCGAGATGAAAATACCCATTCTGGCCACAGGCATGTTGGGGCATGGCTGTAATTCCAGCAGTGGAGCCTGAGGCAGAAAGGTTGTGGGTTCAAGGCCAACTGGGGCTCCACAGAGGCACCCGGTTTCAAAACAAACAACACAAATCCTCCTTTCCTCCTCCTCCTCCTCCTCCTCCTCAGGGTTTTACTCTTTGGAGTTCCTGTGCAACAGGGTGAGGTGAGTCAGAATTGGAAAGAGGCATGGACTGTATGACTGGCCGGTCCACTTTGTCGTGTGTGTGTGTGTGTGTGTGTGTGTGTGTGTGTGTGTGTGTTGGGGGCAGGGCGACCAACGACGGCTCCTGGACCCGGTGTCAGCCCCCTTATTCCGGGTAGTGGGGTGGATCTTTCAAGGACACCCCACGTCCCGCCCGCACCCTGGTCCCTCCAACCGCTCTGAGCTGACTCGGTCTAAAGCCGGGGCGAATCCCAGGACTGGAGCGCGGAGCAGACAGCACCTCTGCTGGAGGCAGGGCGCAGCGGGGGACCGTCCTGCACTCTGGATGCTCGCTCCTCCTCCCGTTCCCTGAGCACCCCTGCTTTCGCTCCTGGAGCTGGGCAGAGTCTCGCTGGGGCGCTGCAGCGAGGGAGCTGCGCGCTCACTAGGACCAGGACGGCTGCGGGAGCCAGGGCAGCGTCCGCTTCGGTGACACCATGAACGGCTCGGGCAGCCCGGGGACCGAGGACACCAGCCAGGAAGCCGGCAGCAGCGGCTGGCATCCGGAGGCGGTCCTGGTGCCCCTGCTTTTCGCGCTCATCTTCTTCGTGGGCACCGTGGGCAATGCGCTGGTTTTAGCCGTGCTGTTGCGCGGCGGCCAGGCAGTCAGCACCACCAACCTATTCATCCTCAACCTGGGCGTGGCCGACCTGTGCTTCATCCTGTGCTGCGTGCCTTTCCAGGCCACCATCTACACCCTGGACGGCTGGGTGTTCGGCTCGCTGCTCTGCAAGGCGGTTCATTTCCTCATCTTCCTCACCATGCATGCCAGCAGTTTCACACTGGCCGCCGTCTCTCTAGACAGGTGAGCGAGCATTCCGTTGTCTCTGAGAACTGGGTACCCTGATACGGGCTTGGGCCGGAGCTGCAATTAGGGATCCAGGAGCGATGCGCAGTGTGGGCGAGAAGACGGAAATCACAGTGGCTTGAGGCAGTGATATCCAAGCGGGAGCGGAGGAGAAAAAGGATTTAAAGTCAGTGACTAAGACTGTCCCTCTATAAGTTGGTCTTCAGACCTCAAAGCCTGGAGAAATCAGCTCCCTGGAGACTTCACATTATTAGTGCTTGAGCTTAATGCCTCTATGAAATGCAACCATCCTCAGAGCTAGTGTCTAAGTAACTTGCTCGGGTAGCCAGATGGTAAATTGAGAGCTGCAGGGAAGCATCTGGTTCTTGGCGCCAAACTCAGGACGTGGACCCGTTGTCTGGCGCCTTAGGCTTGGGAAGGATCCATGCTGAAGCCCAAGACAATGTGAGTGGGGGCTCCTAGCTGTCCCCCATACCCCTCCAGGTCAAGGCTCCCAGCCAGAGAAGCCAGCGGTTTGATGCTCCTGCTCTAGTTAAAGAGCAGAGAAAGAGAAACTTAGAGAATGCTCTGGAGGAATCTTGGCTGGAAAAGACACTAGGAACAGGTCCCAGGGAGGAAATGATCCGATTCTGTTATTTTCCTCCCCTTTCCACACCACTTGGACCTCCCCACGAAAGAGCAGCCAAGAAGTGCCATAACCCCCACTCTCCTCCCATTTCCACCGAGTGCAGGTGTCGGTTCCGAGTCGGCTGGTGGGAGGCACACAACTTCCGCTTTCTCCAGGAATTTCCTTGCTGTTCCTTAACACAAATCCTCTCCAGGTTGTCTGTCAGAGCCTCAGGCAGTAGGGATGGCCTTCCCGGGTTGTCACTAGAGGATAATAATCACTGCCCCCAGGAGTCCAGGCAAACTCTCTAACTTTTCGTCTTCGGTGGTTTTGGGGTGTTTTTTCAAATGGAGTAAACCGGCGGCACATTGCCAGAGACTGACGAACGGTCTAGACGCCCGCATGGTTTGCTCCTAGGTCCTGTCCTAATTCTAGGATCAAATTAGCATCAGAGACACTGGGTCTGCCCTCCAGGCATAGGCCATATAACCTTTTTGTTAAAAGCCTTCTTCCAGAGCGAAGGTGGGGTTGGCGGTGGCCTAGCAGTGAATCCTCTCGCTTACCCGACACATCCTTGCTCCTCACTGTTCCGCAGGTATCTGGCTATCCGCTACCCGCTGCATTCCCGCGAGCTGCGCACACCTCGAAACGCGCTGGCGGCCATCGGGCTCATCTGGGGGCTAGCGCTACTCTTCTCCGGGCCCTACCTGAGCTACTACCGTCAATCACAGCTGGCCAACCTGACAGTGTGCCACCCAGCATGGAGCGCGCCTCGACGCCGCGCCATGGACCTCTGCACCTTCGTCTTCAGCTACCTGTTGCCGGTGCTGGTTCTCAGTCTGACCTATGCGCGCACCCTGCGCTACCTCTGGCGCACAGTCGACCCAGTGGCGGCAGGCTCAGGTTCCCAGCGCGCCAAACGCAAGGTGACACGCATGATCGTCATTGTCGCCGTGCTCTTCTGCCTATGTTGGATGCCCCATCATGCGCTTATCCTCTGCGTGTGGTTTGGTCGCTTCCCGCTCACGCGCGCCACTTATGCGCTGCGCATCCTCTCACACCTAGTTTCTTACGCCAACTCGTGTGTCAACCCCATCGTTTATGCGCTGGTTTCTAAGCATTTCCGTAAGGGTTTCCGCAAAATCTGCGCAGGCCTGCTGTGCCGCGCCCCGAGGCGAGCCTCAGGCCGAGTGTGCGTCTTGGCGCCTGGCAATCATAGTGGCAGTGTGCTGGACCGCGAGTCCACAGATCTGACACACGTGAGTGAGGCAGCAGGGCCCCTTGTCCCGGCACCCGCGCTTCCCAACTGCACATCCTCAAGTAGGGCCCTCGATCCGGTCTATTAAAGGATCAAAGGGCATCTAAAGACATCTGCAGTGTGACCTGAGGACACCTGGGGGTCATGCTTGGATGTTCGAGGGTTGCAGTCAAAGACTCAAAATTGTAAGGAAATGTTCTCTGTTACTAAACCGCGCAGATTGTTAGTCACGTGACATAAGCCTTCAATCCCAGCACTTGGGAAGTTGAAGGAGGAGAGAAGCAGGAGCCCTGGAGTTTGAGCCCCTCTTGAACTACATGAGATACAGTCTGAACAATAATAAAATTCTTAAAAGGCTCAAATCATTTCAGATGCTGTGATGCAAGTTGGATTTATAATATGAAGCCCCAAGCCTGGGGTAAAAAGCCTCTGGGACTTTACAGGGTGTGGGAGGCTTCTCCTAATGGGGTGCAGGTTGCTTAGCTTAACCATTAAAAATTAAAGTCCCTAACCAAAGCTAGGGATTCAGTGTTGCCTAACATGTGGCCCCACAAGGTGCTAGTTGTACATACCTAGGTCATCAGCCAACGCCCATGAGTTGAAGTTGACTGACGCTTGTGTTTGTGTGCCTAGTTTGTCTATGCACAACCACACGGAGGGCTCCCTGAGGCCTCAAAGTCAGGGCAGCCTGACCAGTGCTCCACTTTGGGCCTTGTATTTGTTTCCCTGCCTACAACTGCACGGGACCAAGTACCCAGCATTTAAATTTTGCTTAGAGGTCAAAAAGTCACCTTCCAACAGGTTCCACTCCACATACACTACAGTGATGAATTCTAAGACTTCAGGTTGGGGCAAGTTAATTCGGCAGAACAGGGTTTCGGGTCACTGGTCTCTATCTGTCCCCAGTATTAAAGGAGCAGCAAGGACATGGAGATCCCCATTGCACATAATGGAGTGTGCTGACTTTTGTCAAAGGCACCACTAAAGCACACAGCCTGCACCCCAACCCTAATTAGGGCTTGTAGAAGAGACACAATGAGGCTGGAGAGATGGCTCAGAGGTTAAGAGCCCCTCTTTCGGAGGTTCTGAGTTCAGTTTCCAATGAACACATCGTGGCTCACCACCTGTAATGGGATCTGAAGCCCTCTTCCGGTGTGCGGCATACAGACAGAACACTCATACATAAAAAGAAGGAAAAAGGAAAGGAGACAAAGATCCCAGTCTTGCCTCAGGGCAATGAGTTCCAGGTGCTGGAAATAGAGTAGGAGGGGGCACCGAGGCAGGTGCAGTGGCTAGGGCTGCACCCTGAGCTTTGGCTTTGTGTTTGTGGAACTGGATGGGAGAAGTGTTTTGTCCAAGGCTGAGCCCTTGCACAGAGCAGCTGGATCCATCCAGTGGCTCAGAAAGGGCTGAATGGAGGTTGTAATTTAGGCCTCACTGCTCTGCCCAGACAGACACTGATGGCTCTGTGGATCCAGCTCCACCTAGCCTTCCTCTAAGCTCAGCACCAATCAGCTCTTGGTTTAGAAACCCAGCTCCCAGGAATCAGCAGTTGGTAGGTTGAGGGCTTAAGGGTTTTTGTTTTTCCAGACAGGATTTTTCTGTAGCTTTGCAGCCTGTCATGGAACTTGCTTTGCAGACCAGGCTGGCTTTGAACTCAGAGATTCACCTGCCTCTGCCTCCCCAATTCTGGGACTAAAGGCATGTGCCACCACAGCCTGGCTTGAGGGCTTAAGGTTTTAAGTGTTAGGATTCGGGTCCTGAGATAAACCTGACTTTGTCCAGTCTGGAATGTTAGTGTGCATCCCCAGCACGCAGTCCCACTGCCCTGGAATTCACTCTGGATACCCAGACTCACTATCCAGGAAGTGTGAGGTAGGAATTTCAGGTGGGCACCAGAGAACTCCTCCCCAACCCCCATCTCTAGATGCCTCTTGGAGAATATTATCCTTTAGGTGGCTACCACAGTAGCAGGAGCAAGTATTTCTCTAGCAGAACCCTGGTGGGGCTGGCAAAACTGGGGCTGAAGTCTCCCCTTGTGGCAGCACAAGAATGGGCTGGGCTCCGGCCGTGGTGCTTCTCCCTGTAGGCTATGGTGAACTGAACGGTCCCAGACCCACAGGTCTGAGTGCAGCACAATGGTCATGTGGAGTTGACCACAGCGACTGTAGCCTGAGTTTCAACCCTTTCAGCAACACCACGCTCACAGAGCCTGGGGGATGAGACTGAGTGGGATGTTAGGGGCACTGGTCTCCAGGAACAAGGCTCTGTGGCCTATTAGATCAGCATGCACTCCCATCATCCCATCCCAGTCTTAGGGCAGCCTCCCTCCAAGTCATCCATCTCCAGTCCCTCGAGGTTCTTCACTGTCGTCCTTCAGAGTCACAGCTCCAGTTCTCAGAGCTGCTCCACAGTAACTGGTCCCTGTCACTTCATTCTCTTCTCCCCAGCTACAGTGTCTGGGCCAAGAGTGCCAGACTTAGAGGCTCATCCTCAAAGGCAACTGAAGGCGCAGCTACCCAACACACATGCACAAACTTGCCAGGTGTCACAGTGCTCCCAGGAAAGCCCAGTCACTGCCCCACAGGCCCTAGTGTTTCTCGTGAGAGACGGTGGACAGAGACGAATCTGCAATCACCTCCCTGCCACGAGGTGCTGTCACGTGCATTTATTTCCACGAGGAAAACTCAACTCTGCTTCTAAGGCTCTTCTTTAACTGGAGGAGGCCACCTGGTGCGCCCCCAAAGGCCAGGGAGACCTTGCGGATTGGCTCCCTCCCCCACCTGCCCTCAGAAGCCTGCAGCTTCTGGGGCTTGTCTCTCTCAAGAGACATATCCTACCCTTTTCAGTGACGGAGCTGGAGTTCCAGGCCCATGTGGTAGAGGAGATTGTGTCAAGAAAGAACATGCAGCTCATGACATGAAAGCTCAGGTCCCACTCGGGCATCCCATGCCCTGCTTCCCAGTGACAGAGTCCACCTGGGAAGAGGCTGGTCGAGCCCGGTGGAGGGGGAGTGATGGTATAAATATCCCCAGAGGCATGGTGGTCTCTCTTCTGCCTGCTCTCTCCACACCCCAGGAAATGCCTTTTTCCTTCCAAGATGCACCCGAAGAACACTGAGCCCAAGTCCATCCTGGTGGGATTGGTTCCCAGGGAGACACTGCTGTTGGCGTGAGGGTCGAACCACTACGTGCACTGCCTACCAAGTGACACTGTTGCTCGGCTTCCTTGCCTTCCACTCCTCCCCAGTATAGGCTCTGCCCAGTTCCCCTTCCTGCAATCCACTGCTCAGTAAGACCTGCTCCCCTGCTCCCACCTGGCACCAAGACCAGTTGGGTCCAGGTCCAGCCTCTGTCCCTTCCAACGGCAGCTGACTTCTTCACCTGCTGCTGCTCTTCCTCAGCACCAAGGCTGCCATGGAGACATAGCCCTGGAGACCAGAGCAGCCCCAAGCCTGTGCCCAGAGGGGAACTGAGTGATGGGAAGAGCCCAGGACCTAGTGTGGAGGGTAGGCAAGGGTAAGGCCCACCCCGGGAGTGTGGCTCATGGAGATGTAACAGAGCAGAGTGGTAAGCTGCGCACCTGCAGCCTGCCAGACTCGGAGACTGGGTGGCTGCAGGCTCTCGGCATCTGTCTGCTGGCACCTGGCTTGGGTGCCATCTTTCTCTCCCCAGGTAGAAGCATTTATGAAGCCAGGCAGAATCATTCCCCCCATTTCCTTGGCAAATTTCTCTAATCGGGTGCTTCTTCCTCTGGAGGAGGCTTGGGAAGAACCAGACCCAAACTTTAATTAGTCGATCTAAAGAAGGGACACTCTGGACTAAGAAGCCCTGTCTTTCACCCTTCTGCTCTGGAAGACAGTTCCTTTCCCTGCCATCAGCTCCTGGAAAAGGAAAGAATTCAAGAAAGGGCTGAGCTACAGTTGCTGAGCACATCTTCTTCCTCATGTATGTGGGAGTGTGATGTGCAGTCAGGTCATGTATGTGGGAGTGTGACGTGCAGTCAGGTCATGTATGTGGGAGTGTGATGTGCAGTCAGGTCATGTATGTGGGAGTGTGATGTGCAGTCAGGTCATGTATGTGGGAGTGTGATGTGCAGTCAGGTCATGTATGTGGGAGTGTGACGTGCAGTCAGGTCATGTATGTGGGAGTGTGATGTGCAGTCAGGTCATGTATGTGGGAGTGTGATGTGCAGTCAGGTCATGTATGTGGGAGTGTGATGTGCAGTCATGTCATGTATGTGGGAGTGTGATGTGCAGTCAGGTCATGTATGTGGGAGTGTGATGTGCAGTCAGGTCATGTATGTGGGAGTGTGATGTGCAGTCAGGTCATGTATGCGGCCAGTCTGGATGTGGGACACGTGCAAGTGTGACCTGGCCCCTGGCAAGGTAGCCTCCTGGTGGACAGCCCAGTCTATAACAGGGTGGGGCCTAGGGATACAGATTTGAGGGTACAGCACAGTTCCTATGGCTAGGACAGTGTCTCTAGAGAGGGTCAGCTCCATTCTCTAGCAGGAGGCACATGGATCCCGAGTGCCCCGTGTATAAAAGCAAAACAAGCCATCACCCAAATGCACCCTAAGGGTCTGCCTTCCTGACACAGCTGTTCATTGCCAACCTACAGACCAGCTTCACCCTCACGGCCTCACACTTTGCTCCTGAATTGCTCCCCTTTGTCCGCCAGTTCCCTGCCCCTGATGCTTCTAGGCTAAACTTTCTGTAGCCACCGCTGCGTGCCCTGGGCCGTGAGCACAGAAGCTGGGAGCCAGGAAAAAGATACCCGAGGGGCTGCCCCCACAGGGCGGTTTACAACTCCTCCAAACACTTGTTACAGTGTGCTAGATCCAAAGGGACCAGAGAAAGAGCCCTCCCACCTCCTGTCACCAGGGGACTCCCAGGTAGCAGGGCATTCCAGAGAACTGGGGCTACTGCACAAGTCCAGGGAGCAGGTCACATGACAGCCTGGCCTCCAGCTCTGCCGGCTGCCATTTGGCCTGTTCTTTGAGCCCGCTCATCTGTGGGCTGAAGAGGATGGAAGTAGACCAGGGTGGAGTCTGGCATCTCATTCTTGGCACCCACATAGAAGCTAGGGGAATCATGTCTCCGAAGTCATCTTGGGGCCCCTGTTGGCTGCACTCCACAATGAAGCCCAACATGTGAGAGGACCCCATATTCTGGGTGAGTGCTACTGTGACAGGAGATATGGGCCACAGGGGAGCTGCAAACAGCAGGGACAGGGTTCCTGGCGCAGAGGTATACTAACACTGGTTCATCCACAGGAGAGATGCAAACAGCAGGGACAGGGTTCCTGGCGCAGAGGTATACTAACACTGGTTCATCCACAGGAGAGATGCAAACAGCAGGGACAGGGTTCCCGGCGCAGAGGTATACTAACACTGGTTCATCCTCAGGAGAGATGCAAACAGCAGGGACAGGGTTCCCGGCACAGAGGTATACTAACACCAGTTCATCCACAGGGGAGCTGCAAACAGCAGGGACAGGGTTCCCGGCACAGAGGTATACTAACACCGGTTCATCCACAGGGGAGATGCAAACAGCAGGGACAGGGTTCCCGGCACAGAGGTATACTAACACCGGTTCATCCACAGGGGAGATGCAAACAGCAGGGACAGGGTTCCCGGCGCAGAGGTATACTAACACCGGTTCATCCACAGGGGAGCTGCAAACAGCAGGGACAGGGTTCCCGGCGCAGAGGTATACTAACACCGGTTCATCCACAGGGGAGCTGCAAACAGCAGGGACAGGGTTCCCGGCGCAGAGGTATACTAACACTGGTTCATCAGTCCAATGACGTGGGAGTCTGGAGGAACGAGGCAGCACACGGGCAGGCTTAGGCAGAGGTGTCGAAAAGGCGATCGATCATGTCGCCCACCTGCTCCACACGGTACTTGATGTACTTCTCGGGGTTCTTGGTGAAGGGCACGCTGCCATACCTGACCAGGCACCATGGTAAGAGGTCAAGGGGGAGAGAATCTCCACTCTCAGCCTAAGTGTGAGCTCCCGGTCCTCTGACCGGGTGCTAAGATGGCAGGGGTACCCCTAAACGACATTCCAAAGCCCAGAGCACCAAACATGCTGTCCACCCTATTGCAACTTTTACTTCCCTGAGGAAAGGAGCATGTAGGTTACCTAGAAAGCAGGCAGCAGAGGGCCCAGGAGGGAGTGGGCTCACCTGTGCAGAAAGGAGCCATAGGTCTCCTTGACAATGGTTTTCTGAGCTTGTCGAATCTTGTCCCTCTGCTCTGTGTCTGGAATGGCCCAGGCCTTCTGAATCTTGCACAGCTCTTCAAGGCCATCATTGAAGCCCTGACCACCAAACAGGTAGGAAGGAGGGACCAAGAGACAAAAGCTTTGTGTCTCGGTAGCTGAGGTGGCAGCAGCAATCAGCGGGAGGGAGGCCCTTGACTCACCTTGAAACGTTCCTTAATTATCTGCCGCTCCTTGTCCCGGAGCTGGGGGTCCAGTCAGCAGAGGGAGGCAACAGAGAAGGCCTTGCTCAGAGCAGAACCATGACGCCCTCTTCTGCCCCCAACCCCCTCCTGCCGCCCTCATGGCCTCACACATCTCCGTCCAGAGAGATGCTTGTCCATTTCTCCTAAGATACAAGCATCACATCGGCTTGACACCCCTTCCTCGCACAGGCCTTAGGCCTACCTTGACTCCAGGCTGTACCACCGGAAGATTCTTCTCTGTGATGTAATCAGTCACCTTTAACCAGCTGCCAGACAGCAGGGTGAGAAGACAGAGAAGGGCAACTTCAGACAGCTACTTCTTCCCTAAAAGCTGGGTTTGTTTTTCAAACCTCTCAATCTACTGAAGGTGGGGGCAGTAGGAATTATCTGGGTCAGAGATGCTCTCCTTGGGAACGGAAAACGCTCAAGCTGCTCGCGTTGACAATTAGGAACAGGAAGCAGCAGGCGCTCAATAAACTGAACAAATGTTGCCGACCAGAGTTCACATCAATATTGTGGCAAATTACGAGAGAGAAACAGATGGGAAAAGAGGGAGCAGAGGACAGATAAACAGGAAGGAAGTGGGAGATACTCAGAAAGAAACAGGCCAAGGAAACCAGAGGACCAGAGAAACACCCAGAGCCTTTCTAAGTTCAAGGCTCTCACAACCCCGCTGTTCTCCAGGACTAAGCATTGTTCACATCTCTACAGTCTCCTTTTCAACAATTCTTAGCCACGACACTTGGCAGACCATTCTGAAGAGGCTATGGGGAGGAAGAGGGAGCTTCTCTCTCCACCCATGAGTGCTGGGGCTTAGCTAGTGGCCGCTCCATACTCAGCCTGCGCAAGGTCCTGGCTTTGAGTCCTAGCACTGACAATGAACCCCAAGAAGGAAAACAGACGGTGGGTTACCAGAGCTGCTGGCCTCATGCTATGAGGGGCTGACAAGGAAGTGTGGTAGGTTCAGGGGGACCGCAGAGGGCTGGTGGCCTCTTACCTGCGCTGGTAGGTCTGGATCTGCTGCTCGATGTGCTCCTGGTAGGAACGCTCAGCAGTCTTCTGGGTCACAGCCACCAGCAGGATCAGCTCAGACCTGAGTGAAGGAGGAAGAAGAAGAGAAAGAGAAGAAATTCCTGGGGTCCAGAAATCGCTGGCCTTGGCGGCTTCCCATTCGAAACCTTCCTGAGCTCAAATGGAGGACTGGCTGCTGACCAGAGACTGAAGCACACAAGGCTAGGAGGCTGCAGATGCAGCGTCCGGTCCTGGAAGGCAGAGGCTGGCATGGCTGCCCAGCCAAGGCAGGGCCACTTACTTCTCCAAGGACTTGAGGATGTAGTTATAGTTGTTGTGCAGGAAGATGGCGCTCAGTGCTGGGTCCTCATACACCTTGGACTTGCTCAGTAAGTTCAGCTGCAGGTTTCCCAAGACTTTGCCTATTCAGAAAGATAGGGCCACTTACATCACAGGATCCAAGCACTGGGGCCTGCCCTGCTCACTGTCCTGACAACTCTTCTGTGTTCTTCGGACTCCCAGGCCTCTGAAGCCCTTCTCAGAGCTAGGGTCCTGAACTAGAATGCAGGTTACTATTCCATGGCCAGGGAGGGACCCAGGAATAAGAGGACAGCACTGAGGCCAGGGAAGGGGGGGTTCTGCCAGGGAGACTCACAGATATAGGTGCTCAGCAGGCGCTTGCTGAACTCGGAGCTGTAGCTGGTAGCCGAAGAGCTGGTTTCTGAGAGGAGATGTGCTGTTACTGTGGTGGCAATGGTCACCCTTGAGGGCCCTTTCCACACCCCAGGGGCAGAGGAGGAAATGTTGGGGCAGGCAGGACTGAAGGAAGAGCTCAGGCAGAGATGGGCACCCGCTGAGCTACAGGATCCCAGGATCCTCTACAATAATGGGCTAAGGAACCTACCCATGATAGCAGGAGGCAGGCAGGAGAGGTGGAGGGTACCAACACCTTCCCCACCTTCCCAGCCTAGTCCCCAACATAAGATGGGTGGTATCTATTAGATCCTTTTACGTATTTGCCGACAGCAAGGGTTTCTGGACAGGGCCACCCTGTCTTTCCACCTTCTCTTCACATGCTCCTGAACCCCCTACCCTGCTGATGCACAGCAGGCCAGGCTAGCCAGGGGGTGTTCTTAGGGTGCTAGACCCATTAGGGTACTGCCTGGATAGACTTGGAGACAGAAGATAGCTATGAAGGGAAAAGGAGAAAATGAGGGCATCCTTAAAGAACTCATGCCCCTTTGCCCTGCCCCCAGTGGGTTCTGAGAACTGGTCCCCTGGGAACCTTACCCACTGGGCTTTGGAGGGGAGAATGGGGCTGGGGGACACACTGCTTACCTCGGGGGTCTAAAGGAATATTGTATGTGTCCCCAAGAACTACGGAGTGACAGGCAGTGCACACAGAGGGGGAGGAGGGAAACAGAGGAGGGAGAAAGACGCAAAAGTGCAAAAAACAGGTTAGAAATGGCTGTGTCACCCCAAGCCAAGCAGACCTTCCCCCATGACAGCCAGACACAGCCAGCAGACACACCAAGCCGAACTAACTCAAGACCAGAACACACTGGAGAGCGCAGCCCGAGAGACCCAGCAGCTCCTTGGCGTCTTGCCCCCCAAACAAAAACGCCCAGAAGAGCACCCTTCCTTACATGCCAGCCTCCCAAGCTCAAGCCCCACCAAGGGGCAGCGAGGAGATGGAGCAACAGAGTAGGCAGACGATGCAGGAGGAGTGGAGGAGTACGGAAGCTGGGCATGGCAGGATGAGCACCTAAGACCTGCAGTGCCCACCTCAGAACTGACAGCCAAAGGAGCAAGCAAAGGGTTGGGGTTCATAAGACTGCCAACAAACCCAGCCCTCCTTATGCTCACTCTCAACAAGTCCATGGGGCTTGGGCTCCCCCACAGGCCATGTCTTAATCCCACTCCACCCCTCAGCACACCCTGCCCTCACCCAGAGCAAGTTAGGGGCCTCCTAGGGGCCTAACTCTATGTCCCCAGGCAAGAGGGGGCAGAAGGGCACAGGCAAGCCTAACTCGGGTGTTGTGTACCTTGAGAGGCCAGCATGGCACCTGCCGTCTCCTGAAAGTCCAGAAGCTGCTGTAGGAAAAGGATGGCCTGGCAGAGAGAACACACCCGAGAGGGTCGGGGGTAGGCTCAAGGTAATGGCTTCCTATACACCCTTCCAACTAGTAGGGCAGGTCTTGTGCCAAGGGTCTTCACAGTGACAAGAGCAACCGGAAAGTCAAGTGCTATCTTTGGACTCTGGCTGCCCGAGAGGGCCTGTGTGCTGGAGAAGCTGGCCCCTCACCACCAGTGACTGCAGGGAGGGTTCCCACTGGTGCTGTACCCCCAGCGTCTGAGCTGGAGTGCTCTTTGTCCCACCTTGCCAGCAGCATTTGAGTATCACCTACGTTGCTTGTGAGCTCGTGGACGGTGCCATCCTTGGGCATGTTGTATTCTTTGTCTGGATCATTCTGTGGGAAGGAAAAAAAACAGCCTCTGGTTCCCAGAAAAGAGCTCTCACCAGTGGCCTCTGGTTCACTGTGAGCCATAGTTGGCCTTCCTATGGCGCCACCTCCTGGTACATCGGTGTTATGCCGCCCCTCAGCCTCAGAAGCTGAGCAAGACAAGGATGTCTGCCTCCGAGGGCATCAGTGCCGGAAAAGAAACAGCAGAGCCCAGAGGGTTTCCTCAGGAAACCAGCAGTGCAGGGGTTTTTCTACAGAGCAAACCTGACTCTCCTGAAGGCTTGCTCTCTGAGGGGTCCTCAGAGCTCAGTGAGCAAGTTGGGTCTGGTGAAAGGGAAAGGGGCTGCGGGTACCTTAATGTTGTCAGCAAAGTCTTCTAGTGCTTTGGCTCCAATGGTCTCCATGGAGGTGATGAGGCTGGGCAGCTTGTTCTTGGTGCTGGCTGCTGTGCCCTGAGGAAGGATGGTTGACTCCTGTGTGTCTAATTCCTAGCCCTCACTCCAGAGCCGCATTCCCCAGTTCAAGATTAGCTAGAGCTCTTCTCTTCCCTTGTGAGCATCCTAACTTGTCCAAAGCCCCTCAGAGCCACCTCAGAAGAGAGGTAGGAGCGTATGGAATAAAGCAAGCCGCGTGAGAAAGGCCCACATACCTGGAGCACCTGGTCAAACTCAGGCTTGGTCTGCTTGAGGTGCCGCAGGATGGGGAAGATTGTGAGCACTGTGGTGAAGTCATGGCGGATGATGGCTTTCCTGGCAGCAGACACGATGTTCTCCCCCTCAAGCATCAGTCCGTCCAGTGCATCCTGGGAGAAGGACAAGGACCCTGTTAGGAAGGCGCAGAGCAGAGCAGGTTCCTAGGGACAGTGGGGGCACCCTGTGGGTATGAATGATGGAGAGGGGTCATGGACTACACCAGAGTCAAGGGTTTCGGGTGACAGGCTGCCCCCCCCCCCCCATAGCTTCTGCAGTAAGTCACATGGGCCGGGGCTCAGAGCTGCGGGAGGGCAGGGTAAGACCTGAATCAAGGAGTCAAAGGTTTTCTTCTGATGGTGCTCGGGGATGATGTCCGTCAGCAGCTGGTATTCGCTCTGGGCCAGCTTGACAAAGGCGCTGACGCAGTGAATGTAGGCATCAGTCTCCACATCCAGCATGTCATCTCTCCCTGGAGGGACAGCGTGCTCCTGAGTGCCTGGGGTCTCAGTCTCTCCAGCGCCTGGGCTAGCCCAGAGCAGCAGTGAGCAGAAAGAGAGACTATGTGACAGGTTGCCATGAGAACAGCTCTGGCAGGTCTGGGAGAGCAGGTGCCAAGTCCAAACGCTGTCCTGGCATCTTTCCACTCAGCACAGGCAGCACTCATGGCCCCGGAGCAAACACGAGAGGTGGTGGAGAAAGCTCAAGGGAAGGGAAGTTCCTAAACCAATGTTCTGGGTAAGGTCGTCTGACCCCAGGCCTGAGGATTCTGAATTGGGCTTGGAAGAGGGCAGTGTGGGATGGGCAGGCGGCAGTGTCCACTGTAAGAGGCAGTCACTGTGGTCCTCAATCTGGGAGATGAGGCTCCTATAACGGTCATTACCAATCTCACCAGACCCTAAGAAGTATGAGGGAGCAGAGGGCTATGGCCTACGAGGCAGGCTGGTGTGTGTGTAGAGGAGTTAATTCTGAGAAGAGGCTAAAAGTGATGCACACCTATGATCCCAGCATTCAGGCCGATGGGGTAGGGTGACCAAGTTCAAGGCCAGCCTGGGGTGCATAGTGAGACTCTTATCTCAGCTAAGCAAAACCATCCAAGAAGAGATAATGAGCCCCGGAGACAGAGGGCTCCCTGTTGAGCTGCTCTAGGAGCAGAGCACATCCCACTATGGGAAGATGGGCAGGGGCCCCAGGACAGAGCAGTCTGGTTTCATGTTATGAATGGCTCCAAAAGTGAGATACCCCAGCTCGTGACCTCGGAGCAGCCACCTGCCCTCCTGCCTGCCTTCCAAGACCAAGCCGCAGCTTCTCCTTGGGCCAGGCCCCAAGAGCCAAGCATCTCACAAGAGGCAAGGAGACTGGAGGGGGAGCCAGGCCACAGTCCAGGCCCGTCCTCAAAGCAGAGCAGGCCGTCCGGGGGACTGCTTCATAGGCAGTGTCAGCGGCTGCCCTGGGCTGAACTACAATACTCACTGGCCAGTGGCCAGTGCTTGTTCAGGGCCTCAGACAGGTGCTTAACTCGGAAATCATGCTCATGACCTGGCAAGATGTCAGCCGCACAAACACAAGCAGCGTTTATCCAGGGGACGGGCAGCTGCCCCTTGGGGTATAGGGAAGAAGCCCTTGATCTCCAGGAGCGGAGTGGAGTGTGAAATGGGGCATAGGGAGGGAGCACCAAGGAGGGCTCTGAGCCCCTCCACTACCTCAAACCCCACTGGGAACAGCCGTTTCAAGCCTGACTCTCAGGGAGTGCTTAGGACCATCCCAGGCTGTTTGCTTTCTAACACGGGGAGGCCAAGAGAAGGTGCATGGCCCCAGGGAAACTGAGAAATGTCGGTGTTGAGTGAGTGAGGACAGTCATCCTTTGTGTCCCAGGGTGACTCTTTTGGAGGAGGTGGGTCCACCACCACAGCTGGACTGGCTGTCCCTCTCCTGGCAGCGGAGGAGGAACATGTCCTCTAGGCAGCCTTGTCCCCTTAGCTGCAAGAAGCTCCCTTTCTACAGAGCAGTAGCCGGGAGGTTTTGACCAACTTGGTCCTGCCCTGCTGATCTGGGCGTGAAAGGGCTGCCCCAAGACAATTTTCTCTAAGTTTACACAGGACACAAAGACAGAGACAGGGAGGACGAACCTTAGGAAGGGCAGAGCCAGGCAGGACAAAGCCAGGGTCATGAAACTTGTCCTTGGGCCCATTGAAGACTGAGGAGCATCAAGGGTTTGCCACTCCCGCCCAGCCCCCTCAGGATCTGCCCCAAGGCCTCCTGGGAGAGGCTCTGCCCTGCCTAATGAGTGAGTGGACTCATAGTAGAAGTGGGGTGACGGAAAAGGAACACAGGGTGGTTACCTTCCAGAGGAATGAGGTTAGAGCCCCCCTTTTTCCCATCTAGACCATGCTGGGAATACTGTTTCAGAAGGTTCTGAGCCTTACGGATCGTCCCTGTCACCAGAGCCACAGAGAGGAGAGAGGAAGACCTAGGAAATGAGTGAGAGAAAACAGCAGCGGCCCTCCACCTGCCCAGCCCGCACCCGCCCCAAAAGCAAGTGCCCCTCAACACCTCTGCCAGCAGGTCCTGCCAGGGTCACCGGAGACCCTGAAGGATGGAGAGCATAAAGTGTGGCCAAATTCAGCCCTGGGCTTGGCACTGACCCTCAGTTCTGGATCTGAGTTCACTTTAGGAGGAACAGGAGGTGACAAAAAGGAGGGGCATAAGATCCAGCTGGGAAGGAAAAGGTTCTGCTGAGTAGCGTCCTAGCGGAGTGGGCTAAAAGCCTAGCAGCAAAGCTCTCACACTTAAGGGCAGGACAGGGTAACCTGGGGGTTTCCTGGAGACCAGCTGAAACTCCAGGCTGAGTTCCCTGAGCATGCTCAGTGTTGGGATATAAGCCAGACAGCAGCCTAGGGCAGGCGGCCCTGAGGGGTTTGGGGTTGGGAAAACAGGTCTCAGCTTCCTGCAGAGCTATGATGGATATGGAGGCCCCCACACCCCAAAAGACACTCAGCCGACACAGCAGTGGTAACAAACTAAAAAGCTAGGAGGGGCTACAGGAGCCACCACCCGCAAGTAGCTGGTAAAGGCGACAAGCTCTTGCTGTGGGGGAAAAGAACAGATAGCATCACAAACGAGAACAAATGAAGTGTGGCAGCCCGGCTCCTGGGATGAAGACATCTCAGAGCCCACAGTGTGGGGACACAGGCAGCTTGTCAGCCAGCAGGCACTGCTCCTAGTTAGCAAATGTACCGGGGAGGTGAGTCATGCAGGAGCCGCACTGCACCTCCTTCCCCGAGACTCCTCCGCAGCCGAATGCAAGGCTGCTGTCCTTACAGCACCCACCAGGCTACGCAGGGTGGGGCAGGGTTCAGCTGGCTCATTCTGTGTGTACCACACTGAAATTAGCTACCACTAACTCTTTCTGGCAGGCCAGCTCACATCTGCTTCTCTCCGTGTTCCCTCCTCAGTGAGCACCCTAGTAATGAGTGAATCAGATTCCTGCCCCACAACCTACCCAGGAGCAGATGGCCTGTGGGCCCAGTAGGGACCTAACCAGCACACTGGCTGCGAGGAAATGGGGAAGCGACCTGGCAGCAACAGAGTCCATCAGGTGCCCAATTAGAAGAGCAGATGCTGAGGTTGGTGCCTCATCAATGAGGCCAAACTCTTCTGTCCTCAGAGTGGGGACAGATGTCCTGAGGGCCTGACTCCATCACCCTCACCTCAGTCTGAGTCCACTCACTCCTGCCAACTCCTAGAACCCTACAGAACCACAGGGGCCTCACAGTCCTTTGCATCTCCACAAGGACAGGTTAAGTTGATGGAGAGCGCTGGGGTAGGTCATACCCCTCTTTCTGAGAGGCTAGAACCTGCAGGCCAGTGGACACTGGAGCAGGGCAAACAGGGTCCTGAAGCCTAGCTGGCTTGTCAAAGAACCAGGAGGAAGAGGAAGTGAGCAGAGCAGCTGAGGCCCTGGGAGCCTCATGGACACAGCTCCTCCCCATAGGAAGGCATGGACCCCAAGCATGCAGGCTGCTGGTCCAGCAGGGGTGTTAGAAGAATCCCTGTTTACAGCAAGTTCTCTACTGGGGCGTCCAGGACCCTCACTAAAGGGTAGAAGACAATGCATGTCCCGCAGAGGCCACCAAGCCCGGAAGACAGCCTCTTGTGGCGTGTCTCCAGCCTTAAGCAAAGCCTGAGAAGCAGGTGACATGGTTGCTCCAAAGGGCTTGGAGGGCTGGGGACTGGAAAACGAGGGTGTGCGCTCTACTCAAGGCCTGCTGTTAGGAAAGCATGCTCCCTAGCCAGGCCTGAGCAGCAGCTGGAAGCCCACGCGGGCGCTCGTTCCAGCCCACTGGCTTTCTCTGCTGGTGCTACTGGAACATCCTATCTCTCCTGGGGCTGAGGACTGCCAGGCTGACAGAGACAGTTAGCCTGGAGCACAGACCATATGGACATGAGGTCAGGAGGAGTGGACAGTGGGCTGCTCCCAGGAGAGTGGTGTCTCACTGCCTGCACCCACCTCTATGCCATGCCCACTTTCCAACTAAGGAGCAGTTTAGATTCATCTGGCTCTCTGGAAAGCTGGGGTGCCTGCCCCTTCTCACCCAACCGGACCACACAGCAAGGGGAAGGGGACCTAGCAGGTCACTCTGACCTATGGCCTCTGACCTATAGCCTCTGCCACCCTGCCTCAGAGGCAATTAAGCACACTAGTGGCCCTGCCTCTCCAATCCCAAATCTTATGGAAATCACATAGCTGCTGGGTACAAGAATCTACAGGGCCTTTTGGATAGGGGACATTTGCTCTATCCTGTGTCCCTAGGAGCCGGGTGACCACAGACATGGACTGATACTGCTCACCCCAGAGTGGACAAAGATAACCCTGTGATTCTCCGGCTACATAAATGGTCAGGGTGAGCTCACCTGGCCGCTTGACGGGCTTCTTGGTAGGTGTGTCTTTCCTCTTGTTGGGGATGGCAGGGGAGTAGGGCACCCCAGAGGAGGAGCTGCTTTTGCGGAAATGCTCCTTTAGGCCTTTGATGGAGCGGTCCAGCTGGCTAGAGCGGATCTGGTAGTAGACATTCATGAAGTCTGGAGAGACAGAGCAGAAGTATGCCAGCGGCCGGGGCCCCCACTCTGCTTCACGTCTGTACAGCAGGGCAGCAGAGGCCATGCCGCCACCGGTTAATCCCATCTCAAACCAGGCAGAGTCTCCAAAGGAAAAGCTATCCTCCAACAGAACAAGCGAGGAATTCCCGTATGCCAGGCAATCCCTCTCCACAGAGCTACCACCTACCCTACCAGCTTGTGTTGGTAGCATGTGTTTTTCTGCTTTGTTCTGCCTTTATTTTTGTTGCTGGTCTATGTTGAGGGATGTGAGGTATAGGTATTGGCTGCTTTCAGAGAACCCAAGTCCAGTTCCCAGTACCCATATCAGGTGGCTCATGTCAGGGAGGGAGGGAGAGAGAGATAGAGATAGAGAGAGAGAGAGAGAGAGAGAGAGAGAGAGAGAGAGAGAAAATGCTGGGGGAGGTGGCAGGAAAGCTGCCACTCTTCTGGACAGGGAGCCCTGTCCAGTGCTGCTCACCTTGGTTCCGGCCGTACTCCACCAGCCAGCGGGAGATGCGGATGACATCCTTGAGCACACTCTCAGGCAGGTGCTCCAGGGTCACATCTTCCTGGACCTCCAGGTCATCATAACCACTGATCAGGTCCAGGATGAGCACAGGGGAGACAACCTTGCTGTGCCGGGTCATCAGACTGCGGAACTCAGACTCCAGGGACTCCTTCCCCCGCTCAAACAGCAGCTTCTGCGAGGACAAGGGAAAGAGGCTGCTGCTGCTGCTGAGCTGAGATCTGCAGCCCCTTCCTTCCTGCCCTTGGGCCTCTGGAACCCCAGCCACTCCTCCTTCAAAGCACAGAAGAAACCCTGGGAAGCCTGACTTGGCAATTTCATTTCCTTCAGTTTCTCAAAACTGATGGTTGCTCCAGGTGTGGTGGTGCACACTTTTGATCCTAGCACTCAAGAAGCAGAGGCAGGTGGATCTCTGTGAGTCTGAGGACAGTCAGGACAACACTGAGGTCCTGTCTAAAAATAAACAAAAAATGCTTGGTGCTCACAGGCCAAACTCTGCTTAACAAGCATTAGCTTATTATTTTCTCATTTTCACTGCTAACTGTCCTCTAGTCAGGAAGGGATTTGTAAAAGAAACAACCAGGTAAGTTGATACAGTATGCTGCAAACAGATGAACCTTAAACACATTATGCTAAACCAGCACTCGAGAGGCAGAGGCAGAGGCAGGTGGATCTCTGGGAGTTTGGGGCCAGCCTGGTCTACAGAGCAAGTTCCAAGATAGCCAGAGCTACCCAGAGAAACCTGTCACAACAACAACAACAAAACCACATTACACTAAAACAGAGAAGCCAAGGCCGAGGAAGACAGGTCAGTTAGGAATTTGCTTGTCATGCAAGCACAAAAACCTAAGTTCTATCCCAGCACCCACCTAGACAGCTAGGTATAAGCCTGGATGTGGTGGCATACACCTCTAATCCCAGCACTCGAGAGACAGAATCAGGCAGCTCTCAACACAGTGAGACCCTGTCTCAAGAATAAAAATAAAAACACGTGCTACAGTGTTGCGGAAGTCAGAGGACCGCCCTGATATGGTGACAGGTGGTTTAACCCTTGCTCAGGTGTGCGTGTAAAGACAGGCAGATCCCTGGGATGCAGCAGCTGGCTGGTCTAGCCTAATCAGTGAGCCAGCTCCAGTGAGAGACCCTGTCTCAAAAAACAAGACATCAGGGCTGGAGAGATGGCTCAGAGGTTAAAAGCACTGACTGCTCTTCAGAGGTCCTGAGTTCAATTCCCAGTAATGTGGCTCACAGCCATCTATAATGAGATCTGGTGCCCTCTTCTGGCATGCAAGCTAGAAGAGTATACATAATAAATAAATAAATCTTTTTTTTTAAAAAAAAAAAAAAAGATTTATTTATTATGTATACAACTTTCTGCCTCCACACGCCAGAGGAGGGCGCCAGATCTCTTTACAGATGGTTTGGAGCCACCATGTGGTTGCTGGGAATTGAACTCAGGACCTCTGGAAGAGCAGACAGTGCTCTTAACCACTGAGCCATCTCTCCAGTCCCTAAATAAATAAATCTTTAAAAAAAATAAATAAATCTTAAAAAAAACAAACAAACAAACAAACCAAGACCTCATTACTGAGGAATATCACCTCAGGTTGGTCTCTTCAGGTTGGCCTCTGGCCTCCACATACACACGGATGCATATGCATCCACCCACACATCTACAGACACACACACACACACACACACACACACACACACACACACACAGAAGCACCTGACAAAAGACAGGTTTACCACTGAGGGGCTGTGGTATTGCAGCTACTGGTGCACTAAACTACTGACCCTAGGGAGGTCTCATCTGTCTCACAGGATCCCACTGATTTCTTACCACTTTGTTGAGCTCTGGACTGTCTGGGCTGTTGTCCTGAAAATACTCCACAGCCTTCTGGATTTTGGCCATGCTTCCCAGGTATTCTTCCAACCTGCCTGTGGGACTGGGAAGGAGAAAACACTGGATCAGCCTTGAAGAATGGGGGTTAAAATGATGGACTGAGGACAAGGTATGCTGGAGGGGGAGAGAACACACGAGAGACTCTAAGCTCAAATATGTTTTATTTCCCTTCTAGAGCCTAGAGTCACTGGGCCAGGAGACATTAGTTCTGCAACCTCAGCACGCAACTCACCCCTCCCTGATGATCTTCTCAGTGTCGCTGGCTACGTGGTAATAGCTGATGACGTGGTCCAGGCAGGATAATGTCTTTTCTACATTATCCTGCAGCCTCTGCAGATTCTCCGTCTGCTTGTGCACGGGGATGATGGAGTTCTCCAGCTTCATGAGCCGGCTCTCGAAGGACGACAGGATAGACACCTGCGGGAGGAAAGCCTCTGGCTCTCAGGTCTCAGGGTTATCCTGGCATCTCTTACCTTTTCTTGGTTTTCTAGACAGTAAGCTACATACAGGAAGGAACACAGTGGGCTTGTCCCTAATTTAGTATATGATACGTGATTCAAGATAAACTGGTGAAATTTCTTTTTAATTTTTTTAAGATTTATTTTTATGCGCAATGAGTTTGTTTGTTTTGTCCTGCATGTATGTCTCTGCAAGAAGGCCAAATCCCCTGGAACTGTATTTACAGACAGTTGTGAGCTGCCATGTGGGTGCTGGAAATTGAATCCAGGCCCTCTGGAGGAGCAGCTCGTGCTTGTCTTCAGGCAAGAAAAACATCAAACTAATTCTTCCTAAGATGATCACCCTAGGGAGCTGGAGGGATGGCTCAGGGGTTAAGAGCACTGGCTGCTCTTGCAGAGGACCTGACTTCAGTTCTCGGCACCCACATTACTGCTCACAACTAACTGCCTTGAACTCCACTGCCAGAGGGTCTGACGCCCTCTTCTGGCCCCTGAAGGTACTGCACACTCACAGAGCAAATACACACAGAGTAAAAGTAAACTTTAACAGAGAAATGAAGCTGGGCAGGGTGGCGCACACCTTTAATCTCAGCACTCGGGAGGCAGAGGCAGGTGGATCTCTGTGAGTTTGAGGCCAGCCTGGTCTACAAGAGGACAGGTTCCAAAGCTACAGAAAAACCCTGTCTCGAAAAACCTAAATAAATAAATAAATAAGAAATGATAATCACCTCAGGACAGCTTCCTTTCTACCCTTTGAAGCCCAATCTCAATTTCTGTTCTCTCTGACATTTTCCTAGACTGAACAGGAAGTGGCTTCATGAAGAGTAGTTCCAAATACATTGCTGTTACCTTCAAAACCTCTTTCCCTAAAGGCAAATCTCATGAAAGAAGTATATGACTTTATTATATTTATTATTGTGTGACTAAACACAAATGCAGGTTTGTATCTACTCAATCTGGGTTCCAGTTCCCTCTAAGAATAAAAAAGCAAGTGGGTGGTGGGATACACTGTTAATCCCAGTCCTGGGGAAGCAGAGGCAAGTGGATCTCTGAGTTCAAGGCCAGCCTGGTCTACAAATGGAGTTCCGGGACAGCTAGGGCTGCACAGAGAAATCTCGTCTCGAAAAAACAATATAAAAACATTTTTAAAAAATGATATAAAAGCATGTTAAAGCACCCATCATATACCAGAAGAGTGTAACAGGCATTGATTTCTATGTCCCTTCACAGACACGCTGGGAGAATGGCATTGTCTGTTTTAGTAGCCGAACTAACCAAAACAAGTCTTGCCCACCAAGAACCTCATAATAAGCTGAGGGACAAGGGCTAGGTCTAAAATCCGCTAGCTCTTTGTGATGATGTAATCCCGAAAGCCCTTGGGACTTCGCTGCGTGATCTCATGGAACCAGCCTTCCAGGCGAGCACGCAGCACCTGAATGGCAATGACAGGGGTCAGTCCCAGCCCATCTACAAGGTATATCACTAAACGTTTGCACAGCACACAACAAGTCCAGACCCGCGGTGTCTTTAGTGAGGGGGCGAAGACCAGGGAGCAGCTAGCGAAGCCCACACAGTACCACCGTTGCTACCCACGCTGGACTCGGGCCCGGGACCCGTCCGTCACTAGCCCCTCCGCTGCGGCCGGGGGTGGGCTGTCTGCGGCCTCCCAGCTGAGGGGCTACTCACCATGTTCTTAGTGAGCTGGTCGCTCTTCTCCAGGCTGTCTCGGATGAAGGAGAGCGTCTCCTCCTCCTGCAAGGATTGCAGAGGACGACGTCACCCCGAGCCAGCGGAGGGAGGAGCCTACCACCGCCCGCCCCCACGGCCTACCCCCACCCGCGTCTCTCCTCCCCCCGCCCCCGACAGTCCACGCCCTGGCGCCCTGGCGCCCTGGCTTCACTTTCTCCCCTGCTTCACCTTCTTCAGCTTGTCCTCGATTTCTCGCCGCCGGGCGGAAGCCTCCTGCGGTGGGATCATCGCAGCGGACAGCCCCGCTCCCACTCCCCGCTGACTTCGCTCAGACGCCCGCTCGGCTTCCGTCCCGGTCCCACCCACTTCCGCCCTTCGCCCCGCCCCCTGGACGCGCTGGTGGCGCCATGTTGGGAGTGGCGAGCTGAAGTGTGTACCTGTCGCCCCGCCCCTCAAGAATGCGCTGCGGGCTGAAGCCATCTTGAGTGTGGCTGGAATTGCTGGCTCCTGACGTCTGAGACAGCTCTGCCTGCTTCTTTGAAAGACAGACCCCTGCTGGGAATGCTGGCTCACTCTTCCCTCTCTGGGAGACTGAGGCAGGAGGTCATCCATCAGTTTGGGTTACATAGTAAATATCAGGCTAACCTAGGCTACAGCGTCAGACTCTGTCCCCAAACCAAAAAGCAAGAAAACAAAAATTGCACCTGATTTATTTGAGACAGTTTCTCTATAGTTTTGAAACTGGCTATGTAGACCAAGCTGACCTCTGCCTACCGAGTGCGCCACCAAACCCAGCTCACCTGATTTAAAATAAAAAAGATTTAATACATTTATTTTTGTGTTTCTGTGTGTGAGAGCATACACATACTATGGAGTGGGTATACAGGTTGGAGTCAGTCTTCTCTTTCCCATGTGTAGGTCCCAGAGGGATTGAATTCAGGTGCCAATCTTGGTGGCAAATGTCTTAATCTCACTAAGCTATCTCACCAGGTCATGATTTATTTATGGTGTTGTGGGGGTGGGGGGTGGGGGGTGGGGGGTGGGGGGTGGGGGGGTGTCTTGCCTACATGTATGTGAAGTCTTTGTGTGCCTGGTTCCCTGGAAGGACAGAAGAAGGCATCAGATCCCCTGGAACTGGAGTTACAGTTGTGAGCTGCCATGTGGGTGCTGGGAACCGAACTCAGGCCTCCCTAAAAGAACACTAAGTGCTCTTAACTGCTGGGCCACTTTCCTGAGCCCCTGATTTATGATAAAAGCTCTGGATGAGGTGACAAGTTTGTTTGCCCAGATCACATGCTAAGGGTCATGTCTAGAGACTGTTACCTCAGATCACACGCTAAGGGTCATGTCTGGAGACTGTTTCCTCAGATCACACGTTAAGGGCCATGTCTGGAGACTGTTTCCTCAGATCACACGTTAAGGGTCATGTCTGGAGACTGTTACCTCAGATCACACGCTAAGGGTCATGTCTGGAGACTGTTACCTCAGATCACACGTTAAGGGTCATGTCTGGAGACTGTTACCTCAGATCACACGCTAAGGGTCATGTCTGGAGACTGTTTCCTCAGATCACACATTAAGGGCCGTGTCTGGAGACTGTTTCCTCAGATCACACGTTAAGGTCATGTCTGGAGACTGTTTGCCCAGATCACACACTAAGGGTCAGGTCTGGAGACTGTTTTCTCATATCACACGCTAAGGGGTCATGTCTGGAGAATGTTTGCCCAGATCACACGTTAAGGCCATGTCTGGAGATGGATTCCACACAGAGTAACACAGTAAATACCTGCTGGCCATTGGCTCCTCTGATGAACCAGGAGCTTTGGGATCAGTCCTTTGGTTCTTGTTTGTGACTGAGCAGGTCTGTGTGCCTGCAGGGCTACTGCTTTCCTCTCCAGAGCTGTTGGTTACTTGAGGCCCCTGGAGAAGGAGAAACCAGTGGATCAGGGCCCCGTGGGGCTGGATCTGCATCAGCTCTTGCAAAACCTCCATGATCCCTCCCTGCCCCAGCTGCACGATCTTTGCTGCTGTTAGTGGTGTGGGTGACTTTTTTGCTGGTGAGTCAGGCATCCAGGCCTGGGAAAATAATCAATTAGGCACGTGCAAAGGCTTTCTTTAGATGTTATCACTGGCTTTCTTTAGACAATATCATTGGTTTTCTTTTATGTGCATAAATAAGCTGGAGATGGAGCTCAGTTCTGGAGTGCTTTCAGAGTTTGCATGAAGCCCGGAGTCTGATCCCCAGCACTGCCTCTAATCCTAGTACTTGAGAGGTGGAGGCAAGAGGATCAGAAACTCCAGGTCAGGACTGGCGAGCCACCTCAGTCCAGTTGGAAAAGTGTTGGCCACTCAAAGGGTGAGGACCCACATAAAAAGCCGGCCATGGTGGCATAGGCCTTCAAATCCCATGCTGGGAGACGGAGACCCTGACTGTCCAGGGCAGTGTAATGAGTGAGCCCCTGATACCAGTGAGAGAACAAGCACACACACACACACACACACACACACAGAGAGAGAGAGAGAGAGAGAGAGAGAGAGCGCCTGGGGCCTGGGATATGAGTCCCTACCTAGCTTAACAACAACAAAGGACATATGAGTCTTTCTGCAGGTTTTTCAAATGCCTTCAATGTCTCCGTGTAATCTGGCAGCTACCCACTGAGCGCTGAGAGCCTTCTGTTTGCACATCCGTGTTACAAACACCATCCTTGCACTAGCTCTTGTAATCCTAACGTTAAACTGGGAGTGGGGACCAGCTGTTGTCTCCCTTCCGAGGCAGAGGAAGTACTGGTTCCTTCGCTTGTCCTGAGTCAACACAGCTGGCTCGGAGGAGGGACAGCTGAGGCACCAGCCTCTGCTTCGCCAGCCTGACTCCCAAGCAGGCCGTTCTGAAAAGCAGGTTATGTTTATGACAACCGTCACGACTGAAACGCGGACGGAATCGGAAAAGAGGCTAAATGACTCCCACTCCCGTGCCTGGCGTGTATTGACAAGTTAGCATGAATTCAGTGAAATTTGTAACTCTCCAATTGTATTCAACCCAAGGCAGCTAAGCAAAGATGCCAATAATAGCCCAGTGCCCTGCCGCCGCTCACAGAGTCTCTCCCTGGAGGGAGGATGCTGGAAGAAGAGAGGAAGAAGGCATGGGGATCCCTCCCACGATGGTGTGCTCTTGGTTTAACTTCCTCATTCTAGGCTTTGTGCCCTTCCTGGGGAATCAACTGCTCCGTTCCTCCAAAGTAGTGTTTCCTGGCCCTGGAGCAGAATTGAAAAGACCTATGTATTTAAATAATAAGAGATGAAGTCTCACTGTGCAGCTCTGGCCGTTCTGAAACTCATTATATAGACCAGGCTGGGCTAAAAAAGCTTTAAAAAAAATCCTGTAAATAAATTATTTAAATGCCATGCTATGTGTTTGTCTTCATTTAAAAACTAGTCTGATTATCTTATTATTCATATTTTTTCTATGAAATAATGTCCTCTGTCCCTTTTCTTTTTTGTAGGGGGTTTCAAGACAGGGTTTCTCTGTGTAACAGCCCTGGCTGTCCTGGTGCTCGCTCTGTAGACCAAGCTGGCTTTGAACTTCCAGAGATTCTCCTGCCTCTGCCTCTGAACTGCCAGGATTAAGGGCGTGCGCCACCACTGCCTGGCCCTTTGTCCCTTTTCTATAATGCTATTCACATTTTCTTTTTTTAAAAATATTTATTTATTATGTATACAATATTCTTTCTGTGTGTCTGCCTGCAGGCCAGAAGAGAGCACTAGATCTCATTTCAAATGGTTATGAGCCACCATGTGGTTGCTGGGAATTGAACTCAGGACCTTTGGAAGAGCAGGCAATGCTCTTAACCCCTGAGCCATCTCTCCAGCCCCCTATTCACATTTTCTTATTGGTTTTCAGCATTCTTTAGATATTAAAGACATTAGTCACCACTTACAGGAAAAGTTTCTCTTTTATGTGATTGTTCTCTGTTGCTGGTATTTGCCTCTGCTAATGTTTAAGATTTATTGATTTGTGTGTTTATCGGTGTGAGTGTATTTCCATGGGAGTGGATGTGTGGGTGAGCACAGCAACGGAGGCCAAGGGCATCCAGGGTCTTCCACCACTCTCTGCATAGATAGCCCTTTGATGTATGTCTGAGACAGGCTCTAACTGTGTAGTCCTGGCTAGCCTAAAACTCACTCTATAGACCAGGCTGGTTCCAACTCAGAGATCTGCCACCTCTGCCTGTGGTGAGACTAAAGGCCGTACCACCACCTCCTGTTTTGCCCATCCCTTGAGGCAGGCTCTTACCCTAGATTTGCTTGAGCAGGCTTGAAGGCAGCGAGTTCCAGTGACCCTCTACCTCTGTTTCTCCCTGGAGCTGGGATTATACGTATAAGTAATGATGGCCAGCTTGCTAGTGGCTGCTGGGATCCACACTCTGCTCTTCAGGATGGCACCAGGGCTCTTAGTCACTGAGCCATGGCTCCAGCCATTAATTTTTATTTATCCTTATTTGTGAGAATCTGTGTAGCCCAGATTGAAACCCCAAATCACCATGTAGCCAAGGATGACCTGGAACTCCTCATCCTCCTGCCTCCATCTCCCACACTGCCGGTGAGCCACCATACCCAGCTTCTAGTATTTTCTTTTCAATGCTTATATCATTGAACCATCTGAGTTTTCTCCCTGGTGGAGATCTAGTTGCTCCAATAACATTTCCTCAGTAATTCATGATCACCTGTGATTCAAAATGTCACCTATACCATAAATTCCTAGATTTTATTCTTTTTTCATTTATCTATTTGTTTTATTATTTTATTTTATTTGAGACAGATTTTCCTCTATGTAACAGCCTTGGCTGTCCTGGAACTCACTCTGTAGACCAGGCTGGCCTTGAATTCACAGAGATCCACCTACTTCTGCCTCCCGAGTGCTGGAATTAAAGGTGCACGCCACCACTGCTGGGCTAGATTTTATTTTATTTTTTAAATTTTTTTTAGGTGCATTTTGTTTTAAGTTTTCTTTGGGGACAAAAGATACGTAGCTCAGACTGGTCTCAAAATGGAGATCTTCCTGCCTCAGATTTGAAATCTCCAGGGATACAGATGCATTTTGACTTGTCAGGTGCTCTTGCTCTTTAAATTTGTGTTTATGGCCAGCAAGATGGTTCAGTCGGTAAAAAAGGCTGCTGTCAAGCCAGAGGACCTGAGTTTGATCCCCAGAATCCACATGGCAGAAGGAGAGAACCAACTCCTGTAAGTTGTCCTCTGACCTCTACACGCATGGTGGCACTTGCATTCATACACACACACACACACACACACACACACACACACAGAATAAATAAGTATAATTAACATTTTAAATTTTGCC